ATATAAATCCATTCGATAAAATAGATAGCCAACCATACACATTGGCATCATCCTTATCTGTCACCAAAAAAGGAATCAAAGAATTCAATTTTTAAATCCTTTATAGAATATATTCACTTTATAAAAATAGTATTTCTGAAAATATATTTTTGAAACTCAACTTCTATATGACTTGGCTGTCAATTATAAAAAACCAAGGCATGCATGCATTGAGTACCTACCATAGGATAGGATTTTTATCTAAAGTGCCTCCTCCCTTTAAGGAAAAACTATTCTGTGTTGTTGCATCTCAGGGTCAGAGCACTTACCTAGCATGCACACGGCCCTGAGCTCAGTCCCCAGCACTGCAATGAATAAAAAGGGAAAACTATTCTAAATTTGTTATATATAATTATCTTAAAGAACGATGGGAGGAACACCAATACTACTAAGATACACTTCCTTTTGAGGCTTAGTATGTCAAGCTTTAACAATGATGAAATTATAAATTCCCAAAGAAATAAACAACATGAGATGACATAATTCTAATCAGATTAATAATACTGCTATAATCCATGATTCTAGAACAATATAAGAGTATTATTTCTAAATTTTAGAGTAGTCTACCTCCCAACTAAGAGAGGAGTTGACAACAATTTTGTTTACTTGATCTGGCTTTAATAGGAGGCAGCACTATTCCCATAGTGACACTGGTGTCTGCACAGCAGCAAGAATTACTGGGAAAATATAGCTCCTCACCTTGAAAGCTTACTTGGGAACCAATCGACATTATTACTAAAACTAGGGTGTGTGTGTGTGTGTGTAACTGAAATAAGCATCTGATGACATATTGTAACTTTCTTATGTTAAACATTTATTATAGCAACATAGCTGAGTAATTGAAGTAATTTCGCCGTACAGATATTGCATGCTGGAGCATGACATTGCAATGCTAATTGCTCATTGTGTTGACATTTCAAACATATTTTCTGTAACAACATTTGTATTCATATCCAGGTAGTAAAGCACATGGGAATAATTTGAGTCATGATTCATGTTAGCAAATGTATTGCTTTCTAGCTAATCCTCAAACCCAGACTCTTCTGCAAATCTATTAAGATTCAGATGTTGTAGCACGTATCCTTGCTATTGTATGAAGTGAACAGCTCAGGACCAAGACTTGTTATTAGCCTTTGAAAGAGAAATATCAGGATTACCTAACCACTTTTGTAAGGTAAGCCTTCTTAGTAATTTAGGAGTTATTAACCAGGCAACTGAATGATGTCTTTACCAATTTAATAGCTTCCAAGTTAGTAAAGAAAGGTGATAAAAATGAAAGTTTTGTGTAGCTTTTTTTGGGTAATGCATCCCAGTTAATACCAGTTAATATGGTATATTGAATTTTCCTTCAATATACCATATATGTATTTATGACAGACAACCCCCACCCTCGCAATGGCAGTCATTTCAAAGTGTGCTGTAAGATTTGATATATCAACTTTTGATGGCAAGTCTGGCATGTAGCCATACACCTTGCTTTACATGGGTCAACATAACTAATGCATTTTGAGACATACAGATTTCAACCTGGTTCCTAAAAGTCTCAGCAGACAAACTGAACTAGATCCAATAAAATATTTTATTTAAGTTTTATTGTTGCTCAGGCAAAAACACACAATCATAAAATTCAAGGAAAACCAATGCTTAAAAGGCAGATTTCTCTTTTCTTGACTTTGTCCATGCAAAGTTCAAACCTTTACAGGGAATTTAAAGAAGGGAAAAGAAAAAAAGAAGAAAAAGAGAAGTGTCTAGAAAAAAATTTTCTTCATGAATATTTCTAAATTTTAAACTTATTTACAAGTTACCATTAGCCCCAAATATTTAGATATCTAATAACTAATATTTGTATAATATAACCCTTGAAAACTTAAAATTCTCAATTTAAGGGAAAAAAACCAAATATTAAAAAATCGCCAGGTCACAAGAGCACAATTAATTTTATAGTCACACTTTTTATTTTTGTTTAACTCTTAGAATCAAGTAAACTAAAATTCAAAATGTAAATTAGCATTACAGAACAGTAAAGTATTTTCTGTTACTCTTGAGGTATTTCCTATTATTTTAAAAAAGAGAATATACATTTAAGAATGAATCAGTGCTTTACAGAAAATCAAATAATGAGATTTTTGTAACTATCAGTTTTTTGGTACTTTTGATAAAAGTAGAATATATATGCTTAGATTTAAAGAGAATTTTTCCATGGATGACCTTGACATACTAAATTTGAAACCATTAGAATTAACCTAGGCTAAAGAAGCTGAAATTTCAAGTTAGCAAAATTCCATACGGATCTACTTTCCAAGTTAAAAAGATAATTAAAACAAAATCCTTTTCAGATCTAAAAGCCACTGTTATCTATTTGTGCATAAATATTAGGTGAAAAGAAAGGCGTTTTTCTTTGATTTGGATTTGGTTTTAATTTTAGAGAGGAGGAACAAACGTAAACTTTTATGTCTTTAGTCCTAATTTAGATGTATGGTAAGTTTTATAGCTCTCTGCATCTTATAGATAACTTCATTTTTATATAGTCTAGGTAAATGAAATGCTAGTCAAACAAAATTTGTTTCTAGTAAAATAACAAAAATATGAATCACAGTAGGCCCTTCAAAGTTTGCATAAGCAAATGGCAACTAACCCACAGGTTAGATTATTCAAGTGAAAAGGAATTTGCAGCCTCAGACTGTGTTTGTAGGTGAGGATTTAAAACAAAAAGTTTGTTTCTTAGACAATTCAGGAAATCATCCCAATCTTAAAATCCACCAGATCAGCAGGGGTATGTTTTTCTATAACAGAAGGAAAATGTGTTTTCATTGTAAGTAACCAAATTTCCTTTTTAAATCCCAGGTGAAAGGAAGTAGCATCTGGAATTTTTCAGGTAAAGCTACTTTCTCACCTAGAAGACAGAGAGACTACTTTCATCACTTGTGCTGATATGTTTTAACCCTATGAATAAAAAATGTATAATAAAACTAGGGAATATCTGACACCTCTATAACATGTCTATGGCTGCTCAAGACTCCCATGGTTCATTACTGTGACTTCTCTTAGTTGCTCATTTGGGAATGGCGCTATCACAGCCAGACTCCACAGCATGCCAGGTCATACATATGAATAATGAGCACATGGCTTTTATTCACAAGTTCATCATCTCAAAATAGATCAGTACAAATAGGAAGCAAAAATCTATTGCTTGAAATAAGGTCAGACTTAAGTAGCTAGAGACATGAAATTTATCAAATAATGTGACTAGTTTCATACATTTAAATTTACCCTTGGTTTTTAGTGTGAGTGTGTGTGTGTGTGTGTGTGTGTGTGTGTGTGTGTGTGTGCGTGCACACTTAAAAGAAGAATTCCTCCCAATTTTGGACATTCTTATTTTTTGTCTTAAATAAAAATCTTATTTTTGCACAACTAAAGTTAGAAATTCAAAGCATACCTTCTAGCAAGCTATCATTTGTGATTTAAGCTGAAACAAGTAAACAAACTGGTTGTGTCTCTTTCATGACCAAATCATGTATTTAAAAGAAAAATGGCTAAAAAATACTCCATGAAATGTCTTACTTATTGATCATTCTTATAGTGATTTTATAATACACCATTCTGGTTTATTCTAAGAAATTTATAACATAAATAAGAATTCACAAAATAGACTCATAAACACTACACTGATTTCCTTCACTCTGTTAGAATTATTCTCTCCCACAGAGACACCAGCAAGTCATTTGGGACCTATCCAGAAAGGAAAGGTTCTTCACTGAAAAATGGATATCAGGCAGTAATTAAAAAAAATTAAATACTAGTAATTAATTTAGGAACAAAATGTATTATTTTAGCTGAAAACACTCTAGAAGGTGGTTTTAAAAGCAAAATATATCTAGCCTACAACTTTGGGTTGCCAGCTAACCAGTTTGTGAGCTATGCCGGGACAATGCGCTTGCCTCAGTTCTCCTGTGCTTTGCGGTCATTTCTTGGCTTACTGGAAATATAGGTTTTAGGGTATTAAAAGAAGGCAAAACATTCATGAAATTTGCAAGTAATCAGAATTTATGAAAAAAAACATTGGGGAAAGAAGTTTAAGTAAATATTGCACTTTCTGAGGAGTTTGATCAATGACAGTATTGCTTGTATTTTTATGGAAAACTGAAAGCTCACTCATTGGTTTTGTAATTGTAAGCAAGAAAGGGAAATAAATTGCTATGAAACATATGTGTAATAATGTTGGACAGGAAGGAAATCTTCAGAGTGTACTTTGATTTAAAGAAAAGAAAAAATGCTCAAGGTTGTATTACTCTACGTGATCGCTGGAATATTCTACAATCATTTAGATTACTTCCTATAGCACAGTGAGGATCTCCTATTATCTAGACTTGTAATGTAAACTGGGCTCAATATTATGAGACTTAAACTCATCAAACATATATTTTCCAAATAAAAATGAGTGTTATGAGACACCAATGTCATATAAAAAGATTCAGTCATTTCCATAATTTTCTGTTACTCTAGGTAGCTCCCTATGAAAAGTACAAACAAAAGCTAGCTCACATTTTATTTTTAACCCACTGGATTGTCTTCCATAATATGATCTTACCAGATCCTTACTGAGTAGCTGAATTTTCTCTAGAGGAATAAAAATGTTGGAGAGTTAGGTTGGGACATTTTCCAGTGCTTTACAGTGTGCTATAGTAATGAGAAATCCGTTTTATACTTAATCCTATCATCAAGGGGCACCAGGCTTCTAAATGTTTTGTGTTTCATTTTAAATGGCTACTGTGAGAAAGAGAACTAACAAGATATTGTACTATTAATGCTTCATCATGTCAAAAGCCATGTTATCTAGAAAATAATTTAACACTGTGTTGGGATCTTAAAGATCAATTCTGTTTTATATACTCTGCAGCAAAAAATAACATTTCTAGTAGGAAGGAATTGATTATAAACCTAGTAAATTCTAGACATTCACGTTTGTGTAAACAATTTTAACATGGTTTATTATATTTCCAGAAAGGTTAAGTCTTATATATTAAATTTTCTGCTAATTCTTCTTTTATATATTATAATAAGTATATGTTGAGTGCATGTGTGCATATATTTTCACACATATATATGTCATATATACATAAAACTGCACTTCATGGTCACTTTCTTTGCATGTTCAACTTGAGGGAATACATGAATTCATTCAATTCATGAATACATGAGTTTTATGGCTAACCCATGGCGATCTTCTTTTGGGTTTCACAAATGGCCATATCGGGATGTAAACAAGGCATTGGAGCGAGTCATTCCAGATGAACTGTACTTCATGGTGTAGCCTGGTGTCTTCAGGAGAAATTGGTTACTTCCTGGTAGTAAATACCTAAAAGTAATAGTAAAAAAAAAAAAAGAATTGTTATCAGCCAGTCCGTTAGCAACTCTCTCACTAAAGGTTAGTAGTTTACATACACTCCATGAAAAATGCTACTGCAACAACAGTGAGATTCATATGAAAGAGCTTCCCTCCTCAGGATGGGGGAGGGCACAGAACTTCACTCAAATTGCTGAATACAGACGCGACGCAACGCCTGGTTCAGAACTCAAGACGTTCCGTGGGGTCCTCATACTGAAAATGCTGTGAACCTGTTTATGTGGCTCGTGTTAGTTCAGAATTCATCAACTGACAGTTCCTGAAATAACGTGTGGAGTTAGTCAATCATTTCTTTAGAGCATGGGATGTGAGAACTGAGGAATCACAGTAACGATCATTTCTGGTTTCAGGGATGTTGGAAGCACTGCTTCTAGGAATGTGTCGTTGGTGTACTGTGTCTATAGTGATCTGAAAGAAAGAGTTAAAGATGAGCACTCACAACTACGTGACAAGTTTTATATTCTCGGGCCATACAGTGCTCATGATTACAGGTTACATGCAACCTTGCAGCCAGATGTCGCTCAGAATACGTGACTTTCCCTGAGTTAGAAATATAGTACTATATAGCATCTCCCCCAGGGCCCTGGGGAGCATCCTGCAAACAAATCATTAATATTTACATAGTAAAATGCATGGATATTCACAAGAAATCAGAAAGATAATGACTATAAGCGGTTTCGTGTCAATTCAGGTCAGATTTGCTAATAAATGGGCCCTTTTCCCCTTTTTTTTATTTCAAAGCTGTGGAACTTAGGAATTGCAAACAAGAAATTGTGTATCCATATCTTTGATAAGTATTCTGCCAGTCCAATCTACATGTCTGCAGAGAAACGGTCAAGAAAACCCACACGAGCGAGTGTAAGGCGATAGTGCGTCCTAGGAATGCTACAAAGTCAGGACAAAGAAGATCATGTGGCATTTCCAAGAGCAGAAGTAGGAAATTAGCAGTGGTTTTGAAAAAAAATGAACAAATGGCAAAGCATCAAATGATGTCTTTCTTCATCTGACAGACTCTTCCAGAGTCAGTATCAAAAATCCACAGCTACAAAAAAAGTGAGGGCCAGGCCAAGAACACTGGTCAGCTGCCCATCCTATCTTAAATAATACCGGTAATCCCAGTCGCATTCTCCCAATGGAAAGTTAGATTTGTGGTTGTTTCATACAAATTTTGTAGAAAGAAAAAAAGAATTCATTACAATCAAACTGCATACAGCATTTAGATTAAAACAGCAGAATTTCCCATAACATCCATAAACATTATTTCACATGAATTATCTAATAATATCCAGTAAATCTATTACCTAATATCACAAACTATAAATAACTGCTCAAATCATTAAGTTAATAGAGCAATAAAATAATATACAACAAACTAAATTAAATCAAAATTCCATAATGGGTGATGAATAATGAAACAACTGGTTCCTCCCATCACAGACGATATAAATGATTTTCCTATTATCACTTGGGTAATTTATGTGGATTAATTATTATGTCAAGAGCTGGTGCAGTCATGATGATTAATGTCATCCCTTTTGCCATGAAAATCTTGCCTTCCTATCTGGGGCAAAGGTGCAAAGTAAACTAAGGCGTTTGATTAAATCCAGCAGGGAGAGGGTGGTAGAGGGGGGCAGGGGGAGAAATGACCCAAACAATGTATGCACATGTGAATAAATGAATAATTTTTTTAAAAAACATAACTTATTCTGTAGTAATGCAATAGCTGCACTTTAATAAACTTGTGTTATCAAAAAATAAAAAAAACCATTCCTGTCATTCCACCTACTTCACAATGCATCAGGGTCGCACTCATAATTACACAGCTAACAGTAACTTCTACCAACTTTCTTTCAAAAAAGAAATCCTAAGTAATCATTAATATTGACATTCTGGTAATATTCACAGACTTTTTTTTTTTTTTGAGACAGAGTCTCACTATGTAGCCCAGGCTGGCCTTGAACTCACGATCCTCCTACCTTAACCTCCCAAGTCTGGGGTTACAGGCATGCACCACCAGGCCCAGCCTCACAAAAACTTTTGTTAAAGATCTCTACTTCACATATGAAAAGATAAAAGCACAAAGTCCAGGTTCACACCCCCCGACTCGTGTTATTTCTATTAAACAATTACTTAGTCTTTTCTAGGCCCTGCACTGCTCTAATTGCTTAAAAATATTAACTCATTTAGTTCTGAGAGCAGTTCTCTAAGCAGGTATTACTGTGTGCTACACTTTGTGGATGAATGAGCTCCATGAAGCACACAGCTATGTGACCTTTTCCACGGTCACCTAGCCATTAATAGCAGCGCCAGGACTCAAATCCATGCAGGCAGCTCCAGCATCGGTGCTCCTCCCTACTGTACTGTGCCTTTGTGACAACTTATGTTATTGCCACTGTATATGAATCCTCGTTTTAAAACATCTTTTTTTTCTTTTTGGCATTCAGGTGCTCTGCCACTGGAGCCATGCCCTTACTCCTTTTTTGTTTAGCTAATTTTTGGATAGGGTCTCCTGTTTTTGCGTGGTGTCTGCCTCAGACTATGATCCGCCTATCTATGCCTTTCAGTAGCTGGGATTATAGCTATGTTTCACTAAACCCAACTTGTTAGTTGTACCTGATCAAAACATGGGTATAAATATTATATAATTGTTTTCAGAACAATTAAATATAAAATAACCTGGAAAATATAAAAGTATGCATGCCACAAACCTAAACTTTTTAATAGAAGCAGAAGTTAAAATGAAACATTTTTAAGACTGGGAAGAAAAAAATGCAATGTAAACTTTAAAAAGCATAGAAAATTACACCGGAAGAAACACTTTGCTTAACTAAAGCCCATGCTGTGAGATATTTTAAACCCTCAGAGAGAAGTGCAAAGGGTGATTGCTCTCATGTCTCCTTCGTATCTCTTGGGAGGTCCCACGATAGCTGAACGTTGGACTATTATTTTGGTAGCACTGGGGTTTGAACTCAGAGCTTTGCACTTGCTAAGCAGGTGCCCTACCACAGGAGTCACTCCACCAGCTGCTTTTGCTCTGGTTCTTTGGAACACAAGGTCTCAATTTTTGCCCCACTGGCCTCAAACTTTGACCTTCCTATTTTACCTTCCCACCATTGCTGGGATGACAGGTGTGCACCACCACACCCAGCTTCTTCTGTTGAGATTGGGTCTTGTGAACTTTTTTCCAGAGGCTGGCCTGGACCTGTGATCCTCCTGACTTCAGCCTCGCAGCTGGAATGGCAGGCGTGTATCACCATGCAAGTTTCTTATTGATTGAGATGAGGTCTTGCAAACTTTATTACCAGAGCTGTCTTCAAACCATGACCCTCACAATCTTGGCTCCCAAGTGGATAGGATTATAGCCATGAGTCACTGCACCTGGCCAAAGATTATTTTTGAAATGTTCTTTGTGATGGCATTAAATAATAAAATTTGATTTTTTTAAGCAAAGACTTATCTTAAGGAAGTGAACTCATACTCTGTCGAAAGAGTGTGTAAAGCATCGACAAATGTGAAAAGGTCCATAGCTTTATTTTTTTGTAGCGCACCCTCGTTCAAAAATAAGCCAGTGCTGAGCCAAGGAATCACACCTTAGACGATCCAAGTTCCAAACACTTCACGCACAACCCTCTTCATGTCTCTAAGGCTGGTATGCATGTCTGCACACACCCGTCACACAGGCATACAACACACGCTTGTCCAATTCCTGGATGATGTGGGTTGGCTGGTCTTTCATGTGCCATCTCACTGCTGGTCACAGAGGATATCTAGAGCATGAACCACTTCAAGACCGGTTAGGGAATTAAACTTGATCTCCCTGGAGGAAGACCAGGACCCCTTACCTCGCCACAGTAAACTTAGCTTCCTGGTTTGCAAAGTGTGGAAAAATAAAGTTCAACAGGGAATGTCTCCTGTGGCTTAAAAAAATTTTTTTATTGCATTAAAAGTGACATATCACAAGCAGGGTCTGGTGGCACACACCTGTAATCCCAGCATCCAGGTTGAGGCAGGCGGATGGCAAGTTCATGGTCTGCCTAGATTACATAGCAAAACCCTATCTCAAAAAAAGAACAATAATAAAGCAAACAAAAATGATACAACATGAAACTGTTTTTAACCGTATTAAGCATTACAGTTCCATGCACTGGGAACGTTGATAATGTGTAACTACTCCCCATTAACTCCAGAATTTTTTATCTTCCCAAACAGAAACTATCTATTAAATGCTAAATTCCTCCTGGGCTAGGATGTAGCTCAGTGGCACAGTACTTGCCTAGCATTCATGAGACCCTAGCGAGGTTCAATACCAAGACTGAAATTACAAAAAAAGAAGAATTTCTCATTCCCCTCCTTCCTGCCAACTTCCCGACTGCAGGATTTTGCCTACAAACCTCATACAAGTGGAATCACATTATCTGTCCTTTCGTGCCTGCTTATTAACTTAGCATGTTTTCAAGGTTCATCCATGTATCATGTATCAGATTTCATTCTGTTTATGGCTGACTAATATTCCACTTTGTGTCCACTATATTCTATTCATCCATTCACTTGTAGGACTTTCTAAGTATTATGAGAAAGTCCCACTATGATCATTATAAAAAGGGTCTTGGTGTCCGTGCCCACACATTTCTGCCGAAAACTTCCTGGGCATAGAATACCTGTGAAAGGATAGACTTTAGTATGCAGTCTGAACTGCAAGTAAAAGGCATGAATTTGCCCTCTCACCAGCAGTGTGAGATGCTTCTTGTGTTCTCATCAGCTTTTCATATGCAGAGTCTGGCATGCAGTGTTTTTTGTGATTTTGTATTATGCTGATTAGTAATTAGCTTAAATACTTTTTCAAATCAGTATCTTCCCCAATTTTCTAATAAATGGTCTCTCTGTTTTTTCCTAGAAGTTTGTAGGTGATTTTGCATAGTCTGTATAAGAAATTCTTAAATACCCACAAATGTATGTTGCAAATACCTTCCTCCACCATGTGGCTCGGTTTCCACCTCTTACTAGGGCATCCTGATGAACACATGTAATTAGATTTAATATAGTCAAATCTACTCAGCTTTGCAATTCTGGTAGCACTTTGGGTCCTATTTTTCCAATTACTGCACACTCGAGTTCATGAAAACATTCTCCCGAACGACCTTCTGAAGCTTTAGTTTTGCTTTTCATGTCTATTTTATCAGTTCATCATTTTTGTTTCTTTTTATTTTTTTTTAATCTTGATTTGGAAGTCCCAAGCTTCACTTGCTTAGGATTTAGCTAGAAATAAGTAAATTTTATCATAAACCAAGTCACCTTACTTGGTGTATGGCTTTTCAGAATGGCTCCGTTGGCTTATTTGTAATTCTTTTGCCAAATTTACATTTTCTTAAATTACTTTCTTTGTGACAAGTCTTAGTGCACAGGAGTTCATAAGTTTAGCCATTTTATGACTCTACTTCAAGACTGTCCTATCTACTCTTGTCCCTTTGTTATTCTGTATTATAAATACTAGGACAAGCTTTGGTCAAATTCTTCCCCTACCAAAAGTAAATATAAATTTGTTGAAGAGCATGGTAGGGCTGATTGAATTTACAGATGCATGGAACTATTTGAGAAGAACTGACATATTAATAATACTGAGTGCAATGATGAGCAACACATCCATTCCTCACATTTTCCTGCACAGAGGTCTCACACATTTTTGTTAGATTTAATCCTAAGTAGTCTTTCAAGCTGTTGAAAAATGACCCTTAAAATTTCATATTCTACCTGTTTATAGTTAATGTAGAAAAATACAATTCATTTTCCTATAATGACTTTGACCTCACTAAAATTCTTAAATTCACTTAATTTATCTGTAGGTTTATAGAGATTTGCATGACTCTAATGACTCATTCAAATGGGTTTTATAATGAATTTTATCTTGCAGCTAGGACCTCTAGTTCAATGCTGAACAGACACAGTGAGGATAGTCAAGCTCGTCTGGTTTGTCATTTGAAACGGAAAACCTTCAATATTTAGGAATGTTTGTGGTAATATTTTTATAGTTTTCCTTTATTAACTTATGGAATTTCTTATTTTATTTTCTAGCTGACTAAGCTGTTTTTGAAGCATGAATGTATACTGAACTCTATCAAGTAGGTTGTCTTATCTTCTGAAATATCTTTGATTCCACTAATGGAGCAAGTTCCATCAATGACTTTCTATTGTTATTGCACTGAAATTGATGCAATAAGCTAAGCTGGTCGTGAACTATTACCCTACTCCAACTCTCTGGCTCAGTTTGCTAAAATCTGGTTGAGTATTTTTGCATCAATGTTTAGGGCTGAAATTGAACATGCATTTTCCTTTTCCAATGAAGTTCTGTTTGGGTTTCGGATCAAAGGTACACAGTCTCAAAACGAGAGAACACAGTTTCCTCTTTCCACTCTCTGGATGACTTTGGTGAATTAATGCATTAGTGAAACCATGTAGACCTGGAGGCTAAAAAGCAGTTAGAAAGGCCAAAGCTTCCCCAGGAATCCTAGTTACATGGAATATCAAGCTTATTACAAGAACTCTGGTATTCTAGTATCCTGGAGTTGTGTGTGTGTGTCGAATTGACCATCTAGATTGATACATCAATTCTATTATGAGCGAGCACACCTCTGAGAAATGGCTTTGTACCTGTGCTTAGTGAGCTATTTTACTGAGTCTGCAAGGTTGAAGGGCGCTCTTTCCCATGGAATTAATGCTGTAAACATCTTAAAGCCTCCTAGGAAATATTCTTTAGATCTTTGGTCAAGATAAACATGGCCTAAATCTGACTGATGTCACCTCAATGTCCTTCTCTTTCAATTTTATAAATAAGTTAGCTAAGGATATATTTCTCTCAAATTATTTAGGTATACCTCCTAAATACATACTGTATATACACTTTTAATTAATACTTATTTATAAATATAAATTCATAGGTACTTTGTTTAGATATACTTCATAAACAAAATTAATCTATTAACAGCTATTAAGTTTGGCATATAAGTAAATTACGATAGATTCACTTACCTGTTCTTAAATTAAAGTGACTTAAATTAATTCCCTCAAGTTTAACAGCTAGATATTTGAGAGAAATGCTTATTTTTCTCTGCTCCTTGGGTTTCCATGTAGAACTAACTTGCACTAGTGTAAGTTTCCTGGCCTCTTACCAGAACTGAGTTACCTGACTAGGGTTAAGAGAAGGAATCAGTCATGCTAGGCTCAGCCCTTCTGCAGAGGATGCATGCCACCTGCTCCCCTTGCCATTGCTAAAGGAACCAAACTTTATTGGGTAATCATGGTGGAAAGCTTGGGTTGGTCAACTCTGCCTTGGAATGGGTAAGGCTGTTTCTGGAACTGCGTATGAGAAAGTTCATTAGGCTCACATCTATGCCATGTCTGCAATGTAACTTTTATCAGCAATAGAGCTATACTTTGTGATCATCTATCTGTCTGACGTTTGCATTTCCCTCTCAAAGGCTTCTGAACGTGGACAGGAATGAAAGTATATTTACTGACACCCCAAAATGCTTCTACTCACAATTCTGGGGTGTGGGGAGCCGACAGGTGTATTGAATAAGCTGCGTGTTTGAGTTAGGCACAGCCCCAAACTGCAGAAGTGAGCAAGTATAGTTATACCCAGTAAAATTGCATGCTTGATTGGCACAGCCACAGCTGCAGAGGTGGGCAAGATGCAGTACAGCTGTTTTTTCCTTTAATGTTTATGTTTAGAGAGCAGCTGTCACAGGTTCCTCCTGTTCCCAAGGATCACAGTGCCACGCCCCCCTCCCCCAAGAAATGCCTCTCTGCCTTGTGTTGCTACTGTGTATAATAAATGCACTGGAGGTGGAGGTGGCTGGTGTGTCTCCATCAGAGCACGCAAGGCTTCCTGGCCCCAGCTTTATGCATGTTTTGTCTTTTGTCTGTTGTCTTTTCTACATCTCCCATCACCCTCAGGTTTCTAGGACAAGCTCGTGCAGGACACAAGACTGGGGTCACTGAGCACTCAATCAGAAGTTCAGAACTCAAAATTGCAAGGTCAGGAATATGTGGGGATATCCAGCACACCAGGGCTATCCCATCTGGCCACCAAAGGGGAAGGAAATTAAAAGCCTGAACCAACTGTAAGACTTAACATCTTTCTCCGGGGTAAACTGGGAGACTCATCCTGTTTGTTTACCCACAAAAGCTACATGATCCATTAACAGAAACTGGGTTATGAAATCTTGTATTGAAGGAATGATATTAAACAGTCTGAATGAATTTTCTCCTGTAGTGGAATTTAACATTTTCCTGACCATGCCCCTTAAAGAGAAGGTTCTTCATTTTTATGCTAGTATATCTAAACAAGTGGTTATCATTCTTTTGAATCACAAGAAACTATCAACAAAAGTAAAAGTTTTATTTAAATACTTTGCATCCGTCAAACCATTACACTATACCATGTAAGTTTGATATTTACATATTTTTAATATTAATATTAATCTTTATCTCTACCATTGTTGATCAATCAGTTACTTTTTGCAGAGAGGTTAAAATAGTTTAGAGATCTTGAAACAGTCCACAGACAGAATTCAAGACAAACAGAGACTAAACATGTCTCTTTCAATAGTTTTTGTGAAAAATATACTGCACCATTCTGCTATCACTTTGGTAGAAAGAAGCTTTTTTTTTTTCATGCTCCCTGAGATCTTTTAAATAAACACACGTCAATTTCTACTGTTTTAAAAAAGAAAATCCAACTATCAACTTAATTCAACTATCAACTGACTGCTTTGATTATCACTTAGTTTCTCAGTCATGGCTCACATTCTTTTATCCTGCGTTACACATAAAACTAAAGTTTCATATTCATCTTAATAATTGTTTTGAGAAATGCTAAAGTGCACTTAACTTACTGTGTGTTTTTGTCTTAAAAACATGTTTTTTAACTTTTTGGAAAACTATCTACTTTAACTGGACCACATGCAGAAAACTCAATTCTGTAATGGTACTTGACAAAAATTCACCTCCTACATATCTGCTTGGTGACGAGGAAGTAGTAGAGGTTACTGAACAATAAAATTAAACCACAGGTATCTTCACAAATGAAGTAGGCTCAAGGATAAATGCTGAAATATCCCTACTGGGGAACAAAAACTAAATTTATTATCGCATCTTTTAATGCTCTCACTAGGTTTTTAAAAGCAAACATATATAAACCAAATGAGCTCATTTCCACTTACGGCGTTTCTAGCACCATCAGGTTTGAGGCTGTTGTTCTTGTTCAGTCCCTTAAATGTAAAGATTGTGCTAATTAAAAGCATTTTGTAGATGATAGCATGTATGGATTTTCAGTCTTTAGATTTTTCCCTAGCTATATAAGCAAAAAAGATACTCGCAGCTGCAAACTGTGCTGTGGCATTTCTTTATATAAAAGCTCACGGAGGGGTGAGAGACTGTAAACAAGTACCTGGAGTTACCCCAGTCGGGTCCAATGCCTGCGAGTGAGCTTCTGGTGTCCCCTGCATATTTGTAAACCACTAGCAGGCACTGTTTACAAAGCTCGACCAGGCGCTGGCAACACTGGAGCTGCAAAGGAGTCACCACCTCCGGGCTTTTACTGAATATACTCTCCCAAGAGGATCTGTTGGCATGGAAACAGACATGATTTCATGTACGCTGTTAAAAATGGCAACCAGCTATATCACTTACCTAGCAACAAACCCAGAAAGGAAAGCAGAAATGGTCTCGCACATCTGTAGAAACTGTGTATGATTGAAAGGTACGTAACAAATACAAATCAGGAAAGTAATCGTTATATTTTTAAAAAAAAACTTCAACACTGAATTCATAAACTATTTGTCTTTAAAGCCTTTGGTGTTGCCAACTATGGGTAGCTAACAAGATGGTTTGCCAACACCGCCTTAAAAAATGGAGTTACTCCATATTAAAGTATTTGTAAAATACTCAGCTAATTTCCCAAAATTTAATTTTCTAGGAATTTAGATTTACTTGGAATCTTCATTTACCTTAACATAATAATGATCACACAAAGGGATTAAAAAGTTGCTGAACTTTAATTTGTGACCTCTTTGCTCTAAGAGAATTTAGGCTGGTCCCTTCAATATCACGACCCCCTTTCAACACACTTTTGACATCATTAGGGCCAGAATATCCCTAGCTCACAGGTTCTATATTCTAAAAGTAATGTCATCTCAACAAGCACTGACCTCCTGTGATCCCACAGGCAGCGTCCTCCTCAGTACACTCAGCTGAATCAGCAGGTACAGCGTACATTTTCCTAGTAAACTTCAACTGTTTGAGTACACATGTGTGTGCATGTGTGTGTGTGTGTGTGTGTGTGCGTGTGTTAGTGCTGCCTACGCTTAAGTTTGTCATCATGACCTCAATCAGGAGACCCCAATGAGAGAGAAGAGAGAAACAGAGACAGAGAGAGACAAAGACAGAGAGGCTTCCTCCTGAATGTAAATGAAATGTTTTGCAGGTCTTGAGGAGAAAGTAGTTTCAGATTTGGTAATAAACTAAGCTCATGTTTCATTTTATACAAACTAACTCATATAATTCTAGAGAAGGGAACAGATTTTTGGAAAAGAAAAGATATTTTTCTGAAAAAAAAATGTACTTCCCAGCGAAATTCAAAGACTCAATTGTCATATATTTTGATAAATTTGGACTTTCACAAAATGTTTCAGGCACTCAGAAAGGTATTTTTAAACTAAATAGTAGATTGCTTATTTTTTTCAGGACAAACTTGGTTCCAGAAAGGCAGCATGCCTCAGTGAAAGACAGGCTTCTTAAAGGAAAGAAGATTCAAAACTGAAAGAAACTAATTTTCTCCTGTGTTTTGAGATGTTTTCTTAACAAGAATAAACATTATTTTCATTCAATAAACAATAACATGCTAGTTAAATTAATTCAAAGTAAAATTTAAATTATTACTAAATGTAAGAAAACCTAGATATATTTTTATCAAAATATATGAATACAGAAATAAAATCAACTTGACCAAGAAAAACAATGGGAAAAATAAAATTAATTGGGGAATACGCTTATAATTAGTATATCATAATATAACAGGCCCTAAGTGTCTGGTGTCAGAGATATAAAAATTTGTGTACATGTCAGTACTCATAGAAAACACCTGCGCTTTGACTACCTGCATAACACTTTTTTGTTCCCTCTGCTGGGATTCTGAGTGTTTCTATAAAAGTCTACCTCCCTCACCACCTGATGTTTCAAGCTGAGTATATCAGCCCTGTCCCCCCACCTCCTAACTGCCCAGCATAGCGGAGTAGACATGAAATGTCTCTATAATACATCTCATTTGCCAATAATAACAGCACAACATTTTTTTAAAAGGTGAAAGGACATAGGGAGAATTAAAATGCCAGTGCTTTTATCAAGGAACCTAAGGTCTCATCTGCTTAAGTTTCTGAATCTAAATTCCAAGAAATGGAAGCAACAAAATCTATGAGTTCAAAAAGAAAAATTAATGATTAAAAAGTTCTCTGGGGCACTCCCTAGTCCTCAGAGAAATACGAAAGGAAATGGCTTTAAATGACTTTCTAAGTAATATAATGATAAGCTATCAAATGCTGAATGCTCTTGACAACAAAGAAGAGTTCATGAAATCCAAAGCCTTAAAACGCCTCATATTATTCAGTAATACAATATGTTTCACCCTCTTTCTCATCAAAACATTTAATAAAGCAGTTATCTAAAGAGTGAAAATGACTCATTCCTTTTCTTTGGTAGCAGTCTAATTAATGATCAAGTGGCCAGAAAACAGAAAGAAAAGGTTTTTTTTCAATCTGGACAATATATCAACTGAATGAATAATCACCTAAAGAAGCACTAATGATCTGAAAAGTGCTAGAGAGAACACACCCCACTGAAAGCCATAGAACTGTGGAACAGGAAACTTCACCTCATGCCGAGCAGTCCACACTTTCAAGTAGGCACAGTTCAACCTAGAAACAGACTACTGCCTAGTAAGTTCCTTAACATTGGTTTCTGCCCTAAGGTTCTAAAAGAAAAGCTTCTACATGACAGACCCACACAGGAAAATGCTTTTGGCTAAAAGGTCCAAACAAGAGTCTCTTCTTCAAGCTGCGTACCAGTGTTTCAAGTTGCAGACGAACACTTCCGTCAATATGACTGCCTCCCTCCTCTTCTTTGTTTTATGTAGCTTCCTGCAGGTCTTTCTGTTCTTCCTGCAGATCTCAGTTGAAATGTTACTTTCACAGAACCCTAGACTACTCTTATCCTAGTAAAACATGGTAATTCTATCCATGAAAATCCCAAGAGCTGTTCCTATAAAGAAACCACGTTGAGAACGTGGGATAGCACAACAGTCCCAGAGGGCTGCAGGTAACCAAATGGTTCTTGGGCCATGGGCGTCAGTCTTGAAGAAGAAAAGAAAGGGTAAGAGTATTGTCTATTGGATGCATCAACAAAACCAGTGGGCCAGTTCTAGAGAAACCCGACCCAAAAAACTCTCTTACTCTTTGATGTTCCTGGCAATGAACAAGGAATGGCTTTTTTTTTTTTTTTGTCTTATTCTTGGGTGTGTTGATAGAAGCAAGAATCAAGTCATATGAAAAATATTTTTCCAAGATGTTATACTTAGGTGGGAAGGAAAGCTGCACCCTCTATTAACATCATTCCTTTAGGACTGGAGGTGTGATTCAAGTGGGAGAGTGCTTGTCTATCAAGCATGAGACCCCATATTCAAATTCCAGTATTGCCAAAAAAAATTTCTTTAGAATCGACAAGAATAGATGTTTTTACCTTGACTTCTAGGCTGTCAGAGCAAACGTTAAAGGATTATATATTGACTAGAAATGACCCAAGGATAAAGCAGAACTATGCTGCACCCAAACCGAGAATCAAGGCCAAGCAGTACTTTGAGACTTCGTTAGACAGAGCAAGTCTAAGAAATCCATTCGTGAGATGCAAAGTAAATCTCATATTAAACTCATCTTTACAGAGTTCAGACTGAGCGAACTTTTGTAGAGAGCCATCAGCTAAGAAGCTATGGAATACAGTTCAAATGTTTCACTTAAGTCTCTGCAGAAATAATTTGTACCCAAGATTATTCTCAGATTTCAGCATGCTGCAGAGTGCTCTTTCTCTCTGGTGAATGGCACCTGAGGAAAAATATACTGGGCAGGAGTCTGAAAGCGGCATGAATAATTCGGTATATAAATGAATGCTCAGAGATCATTCTAGAGTAGTGTTAACAATCTATTAAGGTTTTATGAAAGGTCTGGGTGTAGTCTGATCTTTACAAAGAATTCAGTGCAGATGGGACAAACTTTTAGGATATTTGAAAAATAATGAGTTTATTTTTCTGGGGCAGAGTTCAAGTAGGAAAGTAAGAGAGAAAAGATTGGAGAAATAACAAAGAACAATCAGCATATTAGCCTTACATCTATAGATAAACTTGTGATAAATGAGGGAAATCATTAGATTTTGGGAAATGATCTTAACAATAACACGAATAAGGGAAACAAAACACTGAAGGCAGAAATGCCTAGAAATCCTTGAATTTCACTTAGCCCTTCTACCATAAAGGCTCCTCTTGTATGAAACCCTGTCAGACTTTCTCTGTCCCTCCTCCATAGCATGTAAAGTGATTAAACCATGCATGGCACACCATAATCAGTATATGGTTACGAGTAAGTTCAGATTCAGTGTTTTATCTCCAAAAGCATCTAACACAGTAGAAAGCACTTAATAATTGAAAAACAATCCAGAGTAAACCACAGTAGCGATGTGAAAGAAAAACTAATGGGATCTGGCAACTAACTGAATCAGGACAGCAAGTGAGCAGAAAGTTGCAGTTGCCTCAGAAACACCACACTTGTATGACTAGAAAAATGACTAGGAAGACAGGCCATAAGCCATTTCCAGAAAATAAAAAAACAAAAAAAAAAAAAAAGGGAGGGGGTCATAGGATGTTTGGTTTTGGATACTTGAGGACAAAATGACAATGAGTTATAGCTGCTTCAGCAGCCCTAGAATTCTGGAGAGCAGGAAGAGTGTAGCCATGCTTTTAAAAGCCTGCTGCACAGAGGAAAAAGCACGAGAACTTTGAGGATATTGGTTTATAATTGAAATTTTTTCTCATTAATTAACATGATCTGGCCTCCAGAGAATTCTAATTAGTCACATGGTGCTGTGTTTATATTAATCATCTTATCCAAATCAGTTTAATTGATACAAATTATAACTGAATACTAACAATTAGATGCAGTAAAAGATTCGTATTTTAAAATGCCTTTTGAAGAAATTCAGCCATTTTATTGGGCTACCTCTTTAACTCAATAGTAAAATTTAACAACTACAATAACAAAAGGTGACTTAGAACTTACCCTGAATCACAGAAACAACTCCATAGTCCTTGGCCATGATTCCAGAGCAAGCGATTAAAAAGTCGGTTGAAAATCCGATATAAACTTACTTCCTCAACATCAGACACCTTCCATATGTGTGGAAGAACTGTGCGGACACTTGTTTTTACTATGTCCAAAACCTAGTGGAAAAACAGAGTGCTTAACATCTAGATATGTACATCAGTGTCTAAAGCAGTGTCATAAGTGCACACACACACACACGCATGCACACACACAGAAATTAGACAACAGAATGGAATAAAAAGTTCAGAATGACATCCATGTTCTTGTGAAACTTGAGTGATACATGAGACCACTGGAGTAAGAAAGATCTCAACAAATGGGTATTTCAAAATAATAGCCTTTATGATAAAAAAAATACATGAAGTTGAATCCTTACATTACTCAATTAACAAAACTAACCTGTAGAGGGATTATCATCTTAAGTGCTAAAAAGTAAAGCAGTAAATGTATTCATGGGAAGTATGGGCCTTTTCAACCCTGGGTTAGGAAAAAATTACTTAAATCATATAAAGTTAAAAGATTATTATTTTTATCATTATTAAAATTAAGAGCATTAAAGGCATCTTAAAGGAAAATAAAAAAGACCATTCCAGGAATGGGGTGGGGGTGGGGTAGATAAAGGACGGCAATGGAAGGGATGAATTCAAGTATGATATATTTGATACATTGTAGAACTTCTGTAAATGCCACAATGTACCCCCACCCAGCACAACAATAAAAAAAGAAATTAAAAAAAAGCAAAAAGAAAAACAACTTATAAACAGGGAAAATATATTCAAAACATAACCTAATAAAAGATTAGTGTTTGGAATATATAAAGAATTCCTAACAAATTATTAACATAAACATCTTAGAAAAAAAGAACAAAAATTTATGAGTAGATATTTCACAAAAGAAAATAAATATGCCCAATAAATATAAAGAATAAAAATTGAGACTATATACTAAGATATCATTACACACCCATCTCAAAGACAAATATTAAAAGTATGACAACACCAAGGGCTGTGGAAGGTATGGATCTAAAGGGTCTCTTAGACAATGTTGTATGAGTAGAAATGGGGGCAATCACTCTGGAAAACAGTCTGGTATTATCTCTTGACTTTGAGAATTCACGTATCCTATGTGCCAGCAACTTTATTTCTAAGAGAATCTCTCAGGAGGCATGGGCAAGGTTGTTCACACACTTATTCACAACTGTAAATACATAGGAACAGCCTAACTCTTCAACAATGGGAGAGCAGATAAGTAAACAGTGCCCCACTCTTCTCCTTAGGCTATTACAGCACAGTCAAAACTAATGAACTGCCACATGCAACACAGAGCATCTTGATAACAATGGTCAGTTAAAAGCTATGTGTTGGAGAGTACATCCAGCACGATATTCTTTCAATAGCAGCAAAATCAGTTAAATGTTTAAAAATAGCTATGGGAAAAATACATGGATATAATTTTAAAATATAAAGAATTTAGAAAACAAAGGACTGGTGAATGATGGATTTAAGAAAATAGTTCCTGAGACTGAGGACATAGTGGGTGGATGGGAACCATTTGGTGAGATATAGGTTATTATCAATATCTTAGCTTTTGTTTTAGGTTTTGGTTTTACAGTGGAATAATAACCTTAAGAACACAAAGTAAAAACAGGCTACGCAGAGACTAATAAGGGGACGCTATCATGAAATGAGAACTATGATAAATCCAAACAACTGAAACCCAAGAGATCCTGGAAAATGTGCAAAGAGTTTTTGAGGAAATACTTTTTGTTTAATTCATATGAATTTGATTCATATGCAATGCAGGTATTTTCAATAAAACTCTTTTTAAAAAAAGTAAATGCCAACGAATACAGTTATTCTCATATCAGTTGACCAAAGTGGGTTTTTAGCTTTTGTTTTCTCTATTCACTTACGGGAACTGCCTATAAAAATAACAGTGAAAGATGAAAATGGACAAAACAACCTTCAAGCATGAAGGCTGAGTGAAGGCTAATTTCTCCTAACAGGAACAAATACATGAAAACACTGGAAAATAGCAATATTAAGTAAATGATATTAGTTACATATGGTCAATGTAAATTTCAAATAAACATCCATTTACAAATACATTTTATAAAGAATTTTTAAAATAGCATTTTCCTTCTAGAAGAATACTGCCTACAGCTCTCACAATGCTGGGTGGGCAGGGGCATCTCTACACTTCCTGTTCCCACGTCCATCACTATGAAGTGGGAGCAGAGATACAAATCCTGCACCAGGCCAGGGGCCAGTAAGGGGAGGAGAATGAGGACGGATAACACAATCTGTAATAAAGTAGTTTGTGAAAAACACATTATTGTGGATAATGAATGCTTAATTATGAAGAGAATCTTTAAAACTTAATTCACAATAATACTGACATAATATGCATACTGGAAATTAATTTATGCCTTAAATATCATTTATGCTCTCAGTTTAACTGTGTATTTTTTAGGGTCGAAGGCAGTACTCATGATTGACATGATGGAAGAATCAACGCTAGTGGTAAATGATACATTTACATCATCTTGTCTTGATTTTCTTTTCTACTTTCTGTCAATGTATTATTGAGCATTATTGAGTGTCATAATTCTGGAAGGAAGGAATAAAGTAGTAGCCAATTATGGGCTACTATAGATTAGCCTCAAGGATAAATATGGGTTATATAAAATAACTACAATTGAAAAGTGTTACCAATACTACAAATTTTAACATTACCCTAACTTAATCAGTTTTCACATTATATTATAAAAGAATTACTCATCTTTAACGTAATTAAAACATTTGAGATTATGGGATACTTATTCAAGTCTTTTAAAAATACATCTCATGGCAAAATGTGCATGATAAACAAGAACCAGACAGAAGGGCAACTAACATGTATTGGTTTCCCGCTTCATGCCGAACACTGTGCAGAGAACATTATTTAAAGGAGACGCTCCTGGATGCTGGTCTGTATGTGCTTTATTCCTAAAGAGAATTTCATAAGCATGATAGTCTAGTATCTTAGTTTGCACATGTCCAGACGCAGCAACTTGAGAACAGGGCCAGAAAGTTAGGGATGTCTAACTTCCACTTCATTCCTAACATTTCCTCCAATAGGGAGATGTGAAAATATTTTCAAGCATCTTGACACCACACAAACACCGAGGAACGATTTCCCAGGCTGGTAGCCTGGCTGGGTCCAGGCAATCCAGACATTTCCTCCTTACTTTCCAAAGGAAGTCATTGGGAACACAGATTCCCCTTTGCTTCTCCTTGCCTTCAGCTTTCAAGGAGCCTCCTAAGGAGACAAGTTCTATCCTAGGGAAAGGAATAGGTTAGACAGATTCACTTCTATAATTTGGAAGACATGAAGAAACATAAGCCAAGAGAACAAAAGCCCAAATCCTTCATGTCTCCTCTGAGTCTTACATAAACTCTTTCCTACCTGTAATAGCCACCTATCTGTTTACCTGGTGAACTTCTATATCTTAACACAAACAACACTCTTAGGGAGAACTTATCTGTCACTAACCTACTGTATAATGCCAAGTTCTTCCTCTATTACCAATCTTTTCACTTTATTTAACTTCCTGTTTACAGATTATGCTCCTCTTAATAATACACTTAACACATTCCTAAGATAAAGTCATCCACTTAGTAGTTGCTTACCTTAATGACTAATACCTTACAAGAAAGAGAAACCTATGTAGACAAGGTATAACTCACAACTAGCATGCATTGTACCAAGAACTATTCTAACTATTCTAGACATTTTTACATGTATTAATTTACATAATCTCAAAACAGAGGTGTGATAGATATTGTTGGTCTATGGTCTCTTTCTAAAACTTGTGAGGCTAGAGTCTGTAATTATACACATTAATATTTCAGCAGGAAGAGATGTAAATATTCAAACCAAAAGATAGACAAAAACTATTAATACACTACTTCCTGTCAGATCATTTTCACTGAATGAGTTCAGGCAAGTTAAGTTATGAAAAGTTTTTGACTGTGAAAACATTTTGGATCTCATACCATGGATGAGAAATTTCAGACACATATCAGGATAAGTAACTTGCCTAAAATTATACAACCAGTGCTACCATCAGCTTCCCAACATGGCCTCACAATCTGGTCTTTCCAGAGAACCCATTTGTCTCTTCTTAAACTTCAAACCACCTCTAGAAAATGATGTGTGGGAGGAGGAGAGAGATCACTGTGTAGAAACAGGGCTGCCATGCACACCAGCTTCACAGTCATGGAGTTTGATATAATCTGCTTGAAAGGCTATACATGGGGTGACAATGACTGTACTTTAGCAAAATACCCACTGAATAATTTCAAGAAAACAGAAAGCAGGCAGACCAGAAATCAGACTGGGATGGGGGAAATTAGTGCTGGCTTTATTTGTGATACTTTTTTGGATTCCTGGTAGTTTAGGGTTACAAGAAATTGGGTAGAAGTTGAATAATTTGTGAAACCCAGAAATAAATGGCCAGTAAGATGCCCTTGTGTTTATCTGTGGGCTCAAGTAAGGATAACTTATAGAATGTAAGAATCCATTTCCTTACATTATGACTCTTAGAAGGATCCCAATCCAACATTAAGCTCTCCATGGGAAAAATAAATGGGAGATTCAGTCAATGACAACATTAATAAAGTGAAAAGATTTGTCTTTTCTTTATGAAATATAGCACATTTGAAGGTATAAAGCACACAGACAAATTCATATTTTGCAAGAACATATAGATGTTGAATGACAAACTGCTCCTTATGACTGAACAGGTGGTCCTAAATTAAAATAATGGCACAAGGTGAAGGCGGTTTAGAAATAACACTAAAATCACTACATGCTGTACTAATGATGTGTGCAGCAGCCATGGCGGTGGGGTACAGGCATCTTTGCTAATGCAAAACGAACAGTTCTGAACAGCATCTATGTCAGCCCAAATGAAAAAGAGATGGGCAATACCCTCATGAAAGTGCAGGAAGAGGCTACTAGAGATGATATTAACAAGAATTTGCTATTTGGAGAACAAATAGTTGATAAGCAAGGATCTCTCAGAACCCTGAAACGAGTACAAATATAGTACAACCTTAAAGTCACTACTGAT